CCCGACGCATCTTGCTGAATTCATTTTCTGACCTATCCAGGCCGTTCCATCCAACACAATTGAATCCCCGACCCTCATACTTCCACATCGCCTGCACTTCACTTTCCAAAAGCTCGTGCACCCTCATCACCTGCATCAAATACTTTCCCACTGTCGCCCGTGGGAACACACAACATATCGAATCACTCGATATCAAATTTATCACCGCACTTCCATAGAAGTGGATCACAATAAACCTCTCCGGCACAATCTCCTCCGTATCCACCACTTGAACTTTCAATGTCCGCTCAATTCCACTGGAATCAACCCGCGTCCGCGTAAAATCATAACACTGCTCCTCCAGTTAGTTATTAACTAGTAACTATTCCAACTCCAATATGTATACATAACAATCACGGTCTCAACCTCACCTTGCTCCGAAAGTACGTCGGCGCCTCCCGGACTCTGTCCAGCTGATAGCCTTCCTTCGAAGTCAAATACTCGCGCATCCGAATCACACCATCACGTTTCACGAAAGTATCAACATCCGCCACGTCCCAGTCTCCATCGCATATACACCGCAATGCAAACCCTCCAGTTATAATCGCTCCGCTATCCGACATCGCCGCCTGTAACTCCGCCAAATCATCAAAATACTCGAGCGCATCACGCTCAAACCGCACCCGGGGAGAATATCGCACGCGATATAAATCCGCATACTGTCGACAAACCATCGCCATCAGACATCTTTCTTTAATCGAGAGGAAAAAATATAAGGTTTCCAACACAGGTTGGTACCGAACGGAAAACAATCCATTAAAAGAAACCATCGATATATTCGTCGATAAAATCAAAAAAAGAAACCAAATATATATATATATATATATATATATCTTCAGTTGAATTTAACTCACTAAAGAACCAAAATATTCATTAAACAAAGGATAGGAGGAAAAAAAAAAAAAAAAATTGAGGAGGCCCCCAAACACCAGCATCTCTCCCCCCACAACCCCGGAACTAAACCGGAATACACCGGCAGAATTCTGATAATGTGACTGACCCCCAACTCTACCTAGGTAGAAACTCGCCGATGGCGCTGGATGTATTGCAGAGCCAGAGCAATGTATCCGTACCCGCATTTCATTTCTCACATTATTCTCCTTTAACCACTAACCATACAGATCAAATCTCCGATTTCCTCCCCCCCTCCCCCGTTCCCCCCTTTCACAATCGCCTATCGGCATCAGTGATCGTTGACGAAGAATCGTGGATGAAGAAGGTCCAGTGGCCCCCCTTGTCCGACGCGACGTGTAAGTTACTATGTAGACTGTCAGATGTTGATTGCATGGCCGCCTCCGCAGAGGTGGCTTGCGTAACCATTTGGACTGCGAAATTTGAAACTCTTGTGACAGACACTCTTGTGAATGAATGAAGTGTAACTTAGAGAAGTAGTCAAGACAGCTGGGATCAGAAGTGCAAAGTCATATTAATTCATTATGTTGCTATTAAACAATATCATGGCAGATATCATCATTAGATATGTATCGTCAGTGGATATCGTTCATTCAAGCCGGTCAGTACGGAGTAGATAGATAGAGGCTACAAGTCTCTACAGAGTACTGCATAGCCAAACAAGAACGGAGATTATAATAAACCAATCAGAGATGCCAGAATCTAGTTACTCTACAACCAATAAAACCATTGGGATTCAAGTCACATTTCAGCCACAAAATGAAGCAACTTTTGTCCCTCCCTCCCATGATCCTTGAGGACTTCACTTCGCTCCGAATGATAAAAAAAATACTCCGTACTTTTAAAAATAATTAATTAATAAATTAAATATCTAACTAATTCGATGACTCTGAAGAGTTTTTATTTTATTTTATTCTTTTATTTTATTCTTTTATTATTCTCTCTCTCTCTCTTCTGTATATTGTAGATTGGGAGAGAAAGAAACAGCAAAAAGAAAAGTAGAGAAAGAGGTTCGATTGTTTGTATCACTGAATTATTATTTAACGTGGTTTAAAGGAAAGAGTTTATTCAAAACTTAAAAAAAATAAAAAATAAAAATAAAAACCGCTCCGATACCATATAAGTGTGTTAAAACAGGAGATTTAGTAGATCCCAAACGACCGGTGGATATTAACAACAAAGGGGGCT